ATTATTTGAATTTAATTGTTGTATTGTTGCCACTGTTTATTGGAGCATTATTAATTGAGGCAAATCAGTGATTTATGCGGGGATGGTGCATCCATGGCCTCGCCCTGGTTATTGCACAGCCATATCGTTGTATTATCTGAGTAGGGAGAAGGGAACGCCATGTCCCATGAGTTGGAAATGAAAGCCAGTCCATGAGCTTGAGCAGAGATAGCTGGTTGTGGACAAAATAGGACAATTCATTTGAGCAGTGCTGTGATATAAAGTAAGGTGCTAAACAACTACATTAAGTTGGAATGTTTTGCAAGACTAACTTTTGGAAGCTCGTTTATTGCAGCGGGGTGTGTGTGTGTGTGTGTGTGTGACTTAATTAAAAACCAGAACAAGAATTGCAAGCAGTGTGTCTGAAACAATGTGTCTTTCTTTCTTAAGCCACTGACATAAATCATTATCTGTATGTCCTACAGGTGGAAAGGCATGTCCTCCTAGTCTTGCATTACAAGACTATCGCTTGTGCAATGACCACTCTTGCCATCAGGTCTACTGGGAAACATCTGCATGGAGTCCCTGCTCGGAAAATACCTTGATAACTGCTCTGAATGCTACAATTTACTGGAATGGTGAAACTACTTGTGGAGTGGGCATACAGACCAGGAAGGTCTTCTGTGTGAAGAATAATGCTGGCCAGGTCCCAGCCAAAAGGTATCATTCATCAGTATATACCATTGGAGAAAACTTGTTGATGTTCTTTGGTTTACGCTGGATGTACAGTGTGAGGCAGATAAATAAGCTCATGAGTTCAGCTCCCTGGAGACCTAAAATAATCAGAATAAAATAGTCTGTGTACCTGGAAGGTGTGCAAGCCACCACTACTAGTCCCTCTCACTGTGACAGCTTGTGTCATGCCCTGGAATTGGTTGAACAAGATAGTTTATTAGGCTTCAGGAGGCAGAGGAACAGGTAGTTACCCTTTGGGTTCATTTTCAAGATACATCGATCACTTTGGGTTGATGGAATAATAAGTTTCAATACAAGACCATCAACTGGTAATGTAAAAATTAAAGGAAAATGACTCTGACATGTAATGTAACACAAATGGATGTAAAATAACTGTGTACTACTTTTTTTTTATAAAATAATAAAACTTTAAACCAGGAAAGACATCAGGTGGCTGCAGAGAAGACGCATATTGTTGAGCTGTACTTCCTCCCCGTTTCCAGAGAGGACAGTGGGAAAATGAAGCTTATCCTTGGCCAGAGTAGCTACACCCAGCTTTGTTTAAAACTGTATAAAATAATTTTATTTGACAGCAGCAGCTCTTTCCAAGTAGGCACAAGGGCACAAGTAGTTGCTACCATATTAAGTGATGGGGTACAGTTTTAATCAAAGTGAGTGGATGGTTTTTGGTTTTAACTTGTTTTTAATGGTTGTACATTGCCCAGAGCCTTGCATCATAGGGAATGGACAATTTTATAAATCAAATTAACAACAACAATAATAACAATCTTGTGAGTGATCATTTTCTATTGATCTTAATTCTTCAGGTGTGGCAAGGGGATAATACAGGAACTAAATTTAATCCACACAGCATATTGAAGGATTACAGGGTTGCCAGGTCCTCTTTGCGCCCCAGCGAGGGAGCTATCCAGAAGTGCAGGGGGCGGGGTGATGACATCACACAGAAGTGACGTCATCATGCTGGGGGTAACACTCTAGTATTTTGGACAAAACTCTATGGTTATCATAGAGTTTTGCCGAAAGCACTAGAGCGTTGCTGGACTGGAATACTTTTTAACACTTTGCATTGTGAGTGTTAAAGGGTGGTTCAAGGATAACATTCATTTTGATTCCAAGATAACTCTGTGTCACGATGGGCTTGCCTCTAGGAGTGGTGACCAGTGTTCCCTCTAAGCTGAGTTAGTGTGAGCTAGGTCACAGTTTTTAGGCTCCGGCTCACACACGTTGGTCTTAGCTCAGGAAGGATGGCTCCAGAGCAAACTAATTGATGCCGTAGCCAAATCGCTTGCTCACAACTTTAATGGCAGTAGCTCACAAAGTAGAATTTTTGCTCACAAGACTCCACAGCTTAGAGGGAACATTGGTGGTGACAGTTAAATCTGTTTCCATGAGTAGACCTCTGTATGTGCTAGAATCTCTTTCACAGTTCATGTTTGCCAGTAGTACCATAAAAAGAAATGACAACATGCCAACAGACCAGAAATGAAGACGTTCCCACAGACTGCCGGATGTGGAGTATCTGATATTATTTGGGGCAAAAGTGGAGGAGAGGCATGCGAAATGAGTACGTTTTAGTTTCATACCAATTTCCCACAAGCAACTGCGCTGCTCTCGCTCTTCCCTTCTCTCAATTGTATTTGTCAATTTCCCACTACTTGCTGCGCGGCTGCATTTTGACCCGCAGCATCCCCCGATTTTCCCCACATCTTCTCTATCTTGAAAAACAAGGATGGAGAAGACGCGGGGGAAATTGGGGGATGCTGCGGGTCAAAATGCGGCTGTGCAGCAAGTAATGAGAAATTGACAAATACAATTGGGTGAAAGGGACGAGCGAGGGTGGCGCAGCTGCTTGTGGGAAATCGGTTTCAGAAAGAACTAAAGCATCAAATGGCACTGTAGAGGTGGAATATATGGGAGAACAGGGGACTTCATATGTGTAGAACCCTGCCTGACCTAATAAACAGGAAGTTGCTTGAATGTTACCAACCTGCCCAAACTACTTATTTATTCCAATATTTATATCCCACTTTCCCCTGTGACTCACAAATCATACTGAAAAACATAAAAGAGGTGTGCAAAAAAAAACCACACTGATTTTTTTTTCTGGCTTCATTAATGCCTTCTCAGTTTACTTGTGAGCGGAAGCTAAAAGTCCTGAGCTGCTATCTAACGTTTTGTGTGCCAGTGCCCCCTAGCACAGCTTAGAGGGACCTCTGATTGTAGGTTATGTTCCTTGAGATGGACAGAGGAAACAACAAACAGCATAGCTGAGATTTATTCAACTTCAATTTGTACTCAGTTGAAAGAGGGTATCAGGCCATTATCCTAACTAAGTGGTCTATTTACGCTGTTTTGCCCATGATACACTAAGTCTTTTGGCACAAGAAATGTTATTTACCACATGTGGGTTTATGACAATTGCCGCACATTGAGATGTGCAATGGAGTATGTCCTTTGACAATTTAGAAAGTATAATATCCCAGGGGAATTTGGAAAATTATCTTTCTTTGAAATGTAACTATAAAATTATAGTTATGACATACTGGGGGGGGGGAGCACAGTTTGATGGTGGCTGGTCCAGGCTTATTGAATCAATTGAGATGAACAGTGTAACTGCCTTTTGATCTATAATATCCAGTGGACTAAAGAAAGACTGACCTTTATTTTTCATACATCCATGAGTGTGTGGGAGAAATATTTTGCAGATCCGTACAAAGCCATTTTGGAGGAATCTGGTAGGCCTGAGACTAATTTGTCATCTCTACCTAATTGGCCACCAGTATCCGATATTGAAATACATGTATTGATTCAGTCTTTTTCTTCTGGCAAAGCTCCTGGACTTGATTATGCCCCTCCTGCGCTATTTAAATCCAACCTTGACGGGTGGGCGGATATTTTGTCCCTTATTTTTATCCAGGTTAATATAAAAGGCTACATCCCTTCATATAAGAAAGGTAATTGTTGTGATAATACAAACTATAGACCGATCAGTCTCTTGCCAGTTATAGGCAAGATTTATGCTAAACAGCTACTGATCAAATTGATTTCATGGATGGATGAGCAAGAAAACATGGGCTGTGAACAGGCAGGTTTTTGTGCTGGTGCCTCAACAATGGATCATTGCCATGTTCTTTGTTTCCTGTCAGGGGGGGAAATCCCATTTTTCAAAGGGCTACCTGGCAGTCACATTTATAGATTTAAAATCTGATTTTGATACCATTTCTTTGGGACATCTCTAGAGAAAATCAGAGTGCACCTCCATTGATCAGCGGGTATTAGCTTTGATTCTCAATCTTTATTCATACTCGCATATCTATATTTGGTGTGGAGAAAAAGGAGAGCTGTCAAATAAAATTACACTGCAATGTGGACTGCGTTCCTGCTCCTCAGTTATTCAATCTGTATTTAAATGATCTGAAGAAGCATCTCTTGGATCCAAGTTTTCATTCTCCATCGTTGAACAATCAAAGTATACCAGTTCTGTTGTATGTGGATGATACATTGAGGCTGATCTGAATTCCGGCTGGTCCAGAATGCGGCAGCGCAGGTCCTGACGGGAACACCATGGACTCGACATATTCAACCTGTTTTGTGCCAGCTGCACTGGCTCCCGGTGGAATACCCAGTCAGGTTCATTCTCATATTTCATGGTACCCCCATATCTCACATTCCACCAGACTGGCAATTCAGTCAGCTGCAGCCATATCACATTAGCCGTTGTGGCATATGTGGCAAAGATTGAAGCACATTTGCTGTATGGTGTGTCCATTTGGATTGAAGGGATTGAGGCTATATCTGATAATTTTGATAAGCCACTATTACATTTCTTATGTATGGTTGTAGATGCCCCTAAATGTGCCTCTGGACCTTCCTTATGGGCAGAGTTAGGTAAAATTTCTTTGGAGGCAATAGCATGGATGAGAGCCTTAAAATATTGTGTTAAGATTCTGAAATCTGAACTGGGTTACAGTTTATTACCTCTCATTCATAATGACTCATGTATATAATTATGGGATGAATTAATGGACTTAAAATTCATTACTTTAAACTTGCCAAAAGACACAATAATGTGTCTACTTACCAATGAGGAATATAAATTAATAAAGGACCGTATTACCGAATTGGACTCCAGTAGTACATATTTACATGCTCAATGACTGTTCTACCATTGCACTTGGACTGTCCTTCCATCAGAAAATCCCACTGTATTTTTAGAAATTGATGGTTCTGAAGCTGTGGCGAACCTTTATGTTGGCACACATTGTTTCTTTACCTTCTGCAGTATTAAATGGAAGATATTCATGGACACCTTATTCAGATAGAATCTGCTAGTGTAGTTTTGAGGCTATAGTTCACATTGACTTTGATTGCCCCCTGAGAGCAGAAGCTAGGAATAAATTCCTCTTGCCCCCTTTTCATCTTACTATTTTGGTTTGGTTGCTCTGTTTCAGGCCATGTGGCTTTTTAACAGAAGGAAAGGAAAGAAAGAAAAGAAAAATCTGTTTGGACAAAATGTAGCCCTGATCCACAGACGTAAATATCCACAGGTGGGGTCAAACTTGACAAATAGATATATAGATAGGATTACTGAGCAGCAGGTTGTATTCCATGGCAATTTCATGGCAATACAGAGGCAGATACAAATTGGCCATCAAACTTCCCAGAGACTCCTCCCTTAGTTCATTCTCCTTCCTAGTCTCACGCACCACCTGCAAAAGAGTTGTGTCTCACTTTTGGATCCTGATCCACAGCTTGAGATTTTTTTGGGGGGGTGTCTTGTGTTGCAGCTGCTAATTTGAATTCTATTTTTGCACACATTTCGGATACTGTTGTAAAAGAATGCGTATTATTTTATGGTATTTTTACTGATTTTCTTGTGTGCTGCTATGACGATCTTACACTCTTCGTCACACTCAGGATTTTCCTTTCTGTCTTCTTTCTTGCTCAGCAGCTCCTTCTCTCTA